TGGGGATGTTCTGGTACTGGAGCTTGAACTCAGGGCCTGGGTGCTGTTTCAGAACGTTTTCACTCAGTGTAGCACTCTATACAGCTCCACTTCTAGTCTTTTGGTGATTAATTGGGAATAAGACTCACTTTCCTGCCTGGGCTGGCTTTGAACCTTTAGATCTCAGCCTGCTGAGTAACTAGGATTACAGGTGTCACATTCCTAGGAATGTCCTGTTGCTATTTGATTTCTCTGTGAGATTGATATTACTGAGGAAACTTGCCTGTCAAAGACTGGTCTGATTTAATCATGGATATAACCTTGGATAGTGAATATATATTTTGTCAAAAACAGACATACTACCAACCACAATATGAGCAGCAACCAAGCCATGTTCAGGGTTAAAAAGGGGCAGTTAAATCTTTTATAGCATGGCAGGTGTACTGTGTGGATTTTACTTATGTAAGGAAGCATCCAAAACACTAAGTAACAGGTCAGCACAGGTAAAAATGAGAAAATAGCCTCTATTTTACATTGCCTTTCTGTACTCATTGGCCCAGGCAGAAGTAATGCAAAGAATGCCTACCAATTCTACAGTCAGAAAGGACATGTCTATTGCAAACTATTGGACTGACTGCATTACTGGGGATCTTCAGCTCTGCCTTCTATAATAAATATTTCATCCAATATTGAAATAGAATAGTGTTATCTATTCATTTTACTGGGGGGGGGGGGGAGAGTGAGACAGTAGGTGTGATTACAGCCTTAATGTATTTTTGGTAGATTTCTTTTCTGTAAGAAAGGAACTAATTAAGGGCTATAAAGCTTCCAAGTTTCTGAACTACTTAAAGTGCTACTATTGCTTCAAACTGATGAAGTTTCCATGACCTGAACACCCGATTCATGCAAGCATTTGTTCTTTTGCTAAAGACCTAGTGAACTGGTATCTGGGAGTTTATACATGGGAAAAGGCCTATTTCTGGCATGCAGCCTTAATGGAGGTACACACTGACAAAGCCTTGCCTTGGGAAAATGAACTAGACTCAACTAGCAAACTTTCTTTTACAGACCAATTAAAAATATAAAATATGACTACCATACAATTTAATTGTATAGTGGTAATTTCAACTTCTTTATCAGGAGACAATTTTTTTTTGAATTTTCTTGGGATTGGCCTATAGCTAGTCATATTGGGACAGATGTTTTTAACACTAAATGCAATGCAGAATTACCTATCATTTCTTTGCTATGCAGATTGAATATTTTGCATGAACATTGAAAAACACGTTTATAGTTAGAACTTCTTGTGTTTATTGTTTTCTACCACCAAATGTACTGTCTACAGATGGAAAACTAGAATCTTTGATGGGTGGTAAGGAATTGCTCACAAGAATCAGTTACACACAGAGAGACATATTATACATAATGTTGGAAAGGGCTGGATTACAGTTATCAAATGTGTATAGGAGCAATCCTCATCTATCTATAAGTGTTTCAGAGATTCCAAATGGTCCTACTCAACAGCTGGCTCTATTTCAAAGACTGGGTCAATAGAAAACATTGCCATGTTTCTCCCTCCTATGGCTCCCCACCTTCTCTGTTGCTTTGTTGAGTGGCGTGCTGCCTTACTGCTGCTGCTCCTTATTTCTCTCAAACAGTAGCAATAAAAGCAGGCAAACCAATTATGCAATGTGCCACTCTGTTTTTATGCATTTAAGAACCACCAAGAGAATTAGAGGACAGATTGGACTAATACTCTTATTTTTTAAAATATAATTATTTATTAGGAGTTATTTTATGTCAGGTAATAAGTACAATTGTTTCTGGATAATGTCATTCCTTCATTTCCTCATTTCCCTCTTCTGTCCCTGCCCACAAATTGCATAGTTCATATTCCACATAGTGTATACTGAATAGTATTTACTTCTCAAAGAACTTGACTTCTGGACTAGACCTGGCTCAAGTGGTAGAGCCATGTACCTAACAAAGTCTATGAATTATGATAAGGGTGCTATTAATATTAAATAATTGTGATTTTGACAGAAGAAAAGCATGATCCATCCATCTCCTTACAATTTTGTAATATCAAATTTTAACTAAAGATACATAGCTTCTTTTTGAGGTAGGGGGGTCAGTAGTAGGGCTTGAACTCTTGGTTTGGGATCTGTCCCTGAGCTCTTCAGCTCAAGGCTACTGCTCTACCACTTTGAGCTACACCACCACTTCTGGTTTTCTGGTGGCTAATTGGAGGTAAGAGTCTCACAAGCCTTTCCTTCCTGGAATGGCTTTGAGCCACAATCCTCAGATCTGTCTCCTGAGTAGCTAGGATTACAGGCATGAGCCACCTGTGCCTAGCATGATACAGAGAATTCTTAATCCCAAATACCTTTTGTGTTGAGGATTTTCAAAATGTTTGAAATACTATTAAGCAGCTATTTTAAGGAGCATGTGGTATAGTCTGGGGGAACCTTAAAACACTGAAACTTAATTCAGCCTGGTTACAGATCTTACTTGGGATAATTGTTAGTATGGGTAGACACACAGAGCACACATATACTTCTTTGTATTTTAAGGATTACTAATATTCAGCAACTATACACTAAACACCAACATGTAATTCCCAATGACTCAGAAGTTATTACTTTTCTGTGCCTTGTAGATTCGTGGTATTACAATGTATTTTCTGGACATTAATCTGTTTATTCAAATGTATCAACTGATGAAATATAGTACAGGAGTGTCTGATGGGGAGAATTTCTTCACCCATGGCTTCAGCTCATACAACTGACAGTACTGGGACTAAAACTGGAAGAGATGGTGAGTACTGATCCTCTGGATATAGCTTTAGATATGAAACAAATGCAATATAAGGAATCTAAATTCAATGGGAGAACAATAATACCAAAACCTAAGGTCTAGAAAGATCAACAGCCCCAAAGAGTGCAGAAGACAAAGTATTTCATATTCTGCCCCAAAATTAAAGGGACCTTGACCACAGGATTGAATAGTCAGATGTCTTCTCCAGCATTTTAACTGGGCACTACTACTTTGTTCATTTACCACAATGGGGCATACTGTTCACCATTTCCAACTCAACATGGACTTTTTTTCATAAAAATGTGTTAGATATATATGCCTACACAGGTATATGCATGTGTAGGCAGAACAGGTACATATACATTACTTCACTTCTTATCAAAGAAGGTAGACTATGCCAAAATGCTTTTCTAAGTCAACTCTGCTGGTTTAGCGAACTGAGCAATATTTATACTAATGAATTTTGAGAATTTAAACATGACATGGGACTACCCACCCCAATGCCCCACCACTTTAGAAAATATAACATCAAGGAGATAAAAAACTTTGAACAAAACCTTCTTTATTCGTTTACATGAAGACAGTCTCAGCAATACACAATAGGAACATATTCTAAGCTTAAAATTAATCTTCCATTTTGAAAGGTTCAGGATTTCTTTGTCTTTTTCTACCTTACCCTTAAATACTTTCATCCAACAAAATAGCAAACAAATAAGTTTATTTTCTTACTTTTCCTTAAGGTCCTATTGGGAAAATTAAAATTGGCTCTTCAGAATTTAGGTATCAGAATTTAGGTAAGCTGAAGATTTAATCACAGATTACATATACGTAAGAATTTTATAATACGCCCCAAAAGAACAGATACTTTTTAAAAGGACAAATTTCAGGACACGTTCTAATACTGAGGTGTAAGAAAACCCTCTTGGGGAGCTCAGAAATACTCTGCTCTTCAGCTCCATTTAGAAAATTACTAATTACAGACCATAATGGGCACTGGTGATATGACCCATGATGGTTACATTAGGTTAGGGGCAAGTGGAGTCTCCACATTTTAGGGAAGAAAGGCCAACAAAGCTCTTTAAACTCATGTCCATGGCAGATCAATTGATGCTGAAACAACTGTTTCCCTAGAAAGGTATTGTTCCACTAGTACTTTTTCAAGGCTCAACCCTTGAACTACTCATACTGCTACTTGCCTTCTTTATACCACCAGTTCTAGGAGCAAATATCCTAGAAGAACAGAAGCAGACATTGGGAAAACAAGCCTGGGGGTACAAAAGGGTCTCTGGTGCTCTAGGCTGAATATTACAATGAATGCACAATGCCAATAAAGAAAATAAGCTAATCTAGAAACTGTAGCACATTGAGACAGGCTTATAAAACAATTTGTGTGGTTAAGAAATGCCAAAACTACCTACCACTGACTTTTCTGGACGTACTTTACAAAAGGAAATATGATAGGCTAACAAACAAAAATACAAATCGATTTACTCTTTTAACAACTAATATTTTTTAAGGTTTTTATAAAAACAATTCCTTTCAGATACTCTGATTAACCTAGTAAATGACATAAAAAATTTCAGCATTCTTTAATACCAATATTTTTCACAATTTAAGATACAGCCATTGAGTTCAGCATTTCAAGAAAAAAAAATAAAAAAGGAGAATGTTAAAATTCACTAAGAAGCCGGTATATTTAGTAAAGTTTAGTTTGTCTTGGATTCTCTAAACAAAATTAGGCCCAGAATTTTGGTTATCCTAATTACTATTCCAATCAAATAAATAGGATATATATGAATATATGTGTGGACTCTACATAAAGGATAAAATATTTTGAATAAATGCACCCACTGATTGGACTGTTTAGAATCTTGTCTTACTGGGTTTAGATAAGTTAGCTCAAGAGCTAACTGTACATTGAGTTCCACTGATTATAAGTGCAGTTTTAAAATTCTGCTTTGTGGTAAATTTTTAGACAAATAATAAATGCAAGGCACAATACTGTAATACTGTACTGTTCACAGGTACTTGTTGGAGAAGTGAAATGTTTGTATTCAGACTAGCAAAATTCTGACCTTTCAAAATAAAAATGTTAAAACAATGTTTTGAAAATTAGTTTTTTGCTTTTAAACGTTTAAAATGCCAATTTCAATAAAAATCCTTACAGATCTTAAAAGTTATTACTTTCAACTATTTTTCAATTATTTTTTACTTTCAATTATTTTCTCAACTATATTAAACACATAACTAGTTTCTAAATAAACATCTAAGAACAGTTTGAATGTAAAATAAAACGAGACAATCTAATGTAACTTGTACAGAAAGTCTGAGTGATTTATCAAAATTTAAATTTCTCTACTAGTGAAAACCTTTCAGTCTCTTCTTAATATCCCAAACTAGTAACTTTCACTGAGACTAAAGGCTAGTAGAGAGGATCAAACAGATTTAAGCACTGCCCGGCTTCTTCTGAAGTGATGTACTCTTTTATCCTAGGAAAGACAGAAATAGACATTTCATATAACTGAAAACTTTCTATTACCTCTACTAACCTACAATAGTTGCAAACCACCTAATATATTTATTTTAGTTTTGAGTATTGAGCAGGGCGTGGGGCTTAAGTGGTAGAGCTCCTGCCTACTAAGCCCAAGGCTCCCGGTTCAATCCACACATATCATTAAAAAAAAAAAAAAAAAAAAAAAAAGTCAAGCCGGGTGCTAGTGGCTCACGCCTGTAATCCTAGCTATTTAGGAGGCTGAGAGTCTGGGGATCGTGGTTCAAAGCCAGCCCAGGTAGGAAAGTCCATGAGACTCTTATCTCCAATAAACCACCAGAGAACTGAAAGTGGCGCTGTGGCTCAAGGACAGTGCCAAAGCCCAGAGTTCAAGCCCCATGACCAAGCCAAAAAAAAAAAAAAAAAGGTCAATGATTAAGGATTAAATATTCTAAATAAAGAAGAAAAGAGGAGATAGTTCTGGGGAAGCATTCTTGAACTTTGAAAAAATAATAATAAGTGTAAGACTAGCTTATTATAAGACAATTTTCTTTAAAAAAAAAAAGATCCCAGTCAACTCAGAAATATGGGTCTTAAGAAATATGGGTCTTAACATCACTACCCTTTAAGTAAGTTCCTAATCATTTGTCCAATGGTGCTCCCAAAGACAGATGGTGGAAAATGTGACTCAATCAATTGTTTTTACTAACTGAATTTCATCTAGTAAAAATCATGGCTTAAGAACAACATTCTACTTCAATCTGAAATCCTATGTCTAGGCTAGAAGATCTAACTTTATTATCTTTAAAAGCCTATTCTTTAAGAATAGTATTTTTAAGAATAGTATTTTAGGAAATGAGAAAAACTTTAAAACTTTTCTCAGAGGATTAGTCCCTGGAACCCCCATAGACATCAAAATCCAAGGGTGTTTACTATCAAGCCTCTTTTAAAGAATATGTGGTGCTGGGCGCTGGTGGCTCAGGCCTATAATCCTAGCTACTCAGGAGGCTGAGATCTGAGGATGGCGGTTCAAAGCCAGCCTGGGCAGGAAAGTCCATGAGATTTGTATCTCCAATTAACCACCAGAAAACCAGAAGTGGCGCTGTGGCTCAAGTAGTAGAGCACTTGCCTTGAGCTGAAGAGCTCAGGGACAGTGCCAGAGCCCAGAGTTCAAGCCCCACAAATGACAAAAAAAAAAAAGAGAGAAAAAAGAAAGAAAAAACAGATTGTGTGGTATAATGTGCATAATCCTCCTGTATGTAAATGATCTGTTACTTATCATAACATACAATGTAAATTAGCTGCTATTTAAGGAATAATGGCATAGAACAAGTCTGTAGTGTTCAGTATTACAAATTTTTTGATTTGGTAATTGGTTGAATTAGAGTATGACAAACCCATGGATCTAGAGGACTCATACATGCAAACTTTTCCTTCCTATGCTGCCCTCAGAGATTCAGCTACAAGGAAATAGGGCCTTAAAAAGAGGAAAGAGGCTTGAGTAAACCAGTAATGAATTAATAGGGTTTTCTTCTCTATGCAGTTTAGCTGTGCCTTTTTCCTAGGGATTAGATTCAGGTGCTAATGAAGGGTGGTTTCTCAAAGTTACAAAATATCTCAGCAAGGTAACCGCTTAGGTTAAAAAGACTGGAAAAGTGGTCAGATAGTCTTATTTTCAGAGGCAAGGTACAGAATGTAAGATTATTAATGGGCTATAATTAAGAGTAAAATCAAGCAAGGAAATAGTTTTTAAGTGCATTCAAATAGCTGGATGCATTCAATTTCAATTAACATTAGTCAATTAAAACATGTTAGACAATTATGGGATGCCAACTTCTGCCTCTTAGCACAGCAGCATGAAAGCTCTGGAGTTCAAAAGGAGGCTTTTGTCTAATAGCAGATGAGGTATTAAAAATTACTTCTGCTTTCAAAAAATGTGATCCAATTATTTACTGTCTATGTGGAATGGAACAACAAAAGAACAAACACTAGTGTTTTTTTCCAAGCATTAGTTTTAAAGAGATATTTACTTTTTGTTACAAAGATGTTAAGAACTTCATCCTGCCATGTACCACTTTTCTGCAGTACTGGATGTCCCTAGTATATCCATTAGAAAGCTTTAAGATTCATCCTAGATTAAACAATTTTCCCTTCTTGTTTTAAGACACAAAGTGGTGCTGAATTCCTTTTGAATGTAAAATGGTGCTGTCACATTGGCCAATTTCTGGCAGCTCCCCAAAAGGTTCAACACAGTTAAGACTCAGAACTTCAATCCCTAAGTAGACATTTTAAGAGAAATAAAAGTATGTTCACAACAAATTGTACATAAATATTCATAATATCATTAATAATGGCCACGAAGTAGAAACAACACAAATATCTATCAACTATTGAATAGCTAAGCAAATTATGGTGTATTTATAAATGATACACTAGTAAACCTTGAAAATATGTTAGGACTCTGAAAACAGCTGGTCACGAAAGATTACATAGTGTATGATTCTCGCTCAATGAATTGCCTACTTAATGACCTACTCAGACAAAATTGGTTGTGGGGAACCATGGAGTGACTATTACTGAGTTCACTCATTCATTCGTTTATTGATTGATTGATTATTGGTCATGGGGCCTGAACTCTGGGCTTGGGCTCTGTCCCTCAGCTCTTCAGCTCAAGGCTAGCGTTCTACCACTTGAGCCATAGCACCACTTCTGACTTTTTCTGCTTATGTGGTGCTGAGGAATCGAACCCAGGGCCTTGTGCATGCAAGGCAAGCAATCTACCACCGAGCTACCCTCCAAGCTCCTGAATTTATTTTTTTTTCTGAATTTATTTTTGATGTCACTAAAATATTCTAAATTTGATAGTAGCTATAGGTATATAATTCAGTATTAAAAGAACCCACAGAGCCATATACTTTAAATGGTTGGATTGTAAGGTATCCAAATTATCTATCTGTATCTAGAGGGCCAGTCCTGGGACTTCAACTCCAGAGCTTCATATTCTTTTGGCTTTTTGCTCAAGTCTGGAGCTCTACACAAATTGAGCCACATCTCCATTTCCATATAAATCTATTATTAACAAATCTAGTATTTAAAATTATAGTTTAATAATAAAATCTACTACCTAAAAATACATCAAAAATCCAAAAAAACAGAACAAGAAACTGGAATCTTTACAAGACAAGGTGGCTACAAGCAGATCTTTTAGAAATTCAAACTGCTACAACTCCTCCACTTCATCAACTCAGAACATTTTCATTTCTACTTGTTTTTATGGTACTGATGCTTTACCAGTACTTTACTCACTTTGAAACACCATCCAATGGATCTCAGCCCTCTGAATAGTTAGGACTATATGCGTGAGCTACTGGCACTCTGTTGTGCCTTGTTATTTTTGAAACAGTCTCGCTTGTACTAGATATGCACCGGGACCATAATCCACCTATTTCAGGCTTCCTATCCTTGCTGGTAACCACGATGCATGCCAATGTGTCTAGCTTTTCTGTTGAGAAGAGTCTTGTGGACTTCTCTGCCTGACAGTCATGTGCCAAATTACCCAGTTAACAGTTGAGAAAAGGTCTGACAAACTTTTTTGTCTGCGTGAGCCTTGAACTACAGTCTTCACAATCTATCTTTTAAGTAGCTAGGATTATAGTTGTAAGCTACCAGCACTGAGATGGGGAGTCTTGAGGACATTTTTCCGGGACTGGTATTCTGATTTTAGCCTGAGTAGCCAGGGTTAGAGGTATAACCCTGCTTTCTTTAGTTCAATATTAATATATTAAGTTCTGCTTTCAAAATTTTTTTGTTTACTATTTGGGTGAAGATAGTATTTTCTTTCATTTGATTTCTCTTATGAAACCTGTTAAGTTAAAGCTTCTTCTAAAAGTTCCTTCCCTAAAGACAAACTCTACATTAAGACTTAAGTAGCTTAAATGACATTCCCATGTAAAATATGACGTGTGAACGACAAGAAACAAAAAGAAACTTTGAAGCTCACACATGTACTTTTTATCCTGTATACTATTCTTTTCATACCTTGAAGTAGTCATCTTGAGTAACAAGAGAGTTTCTCAGTCTGTTCTCTGGATTAAACAGACAAGATACCACTGTCTGTATGCTTCGATCTACAGATTTCTGAAACACAGAAAATGATGGTAAAGAGCACTCCTTTTACTGTTTAATGATTTTAAAAGTTTAGTGAAAATATACCACATACTTCTAAAGAATTCTTATGGGATTCATAATTCTTACTCTGTGTAAATTAGCATGTAAGTTTTCCTCAAACTAAAGAAATGTTTCAGAATTTTTATAGGGGAGGGGCTCTATCACTTGAGTAATACTCAAAGCCCATTTCACATTAGGTTACTTTTCAGAAAAAAATACTGGTTATTAAAATTTCATCTCAACATATAAGGTAGGTACAGTGGCTTGCAGTGGCAATCCAAGCTATAGTGGAATCCGTAGGTAGGAAGATTACAGGGCTCTACCACTTGAGCAATACCCCAAATCCCTTTCACTTTAGACTATTTTTCAGACAGGGCCTTGCTTTTTGTCCACGGCCATCCTCTTACCCATGGCTTCCCATCTAGCTGAGATGATAAGTGTACATCACCATGCCCAGCTTGTTTTGTTGAGATGAATTGTTTTTTGCTTGGACTGGGGCCTTGAACTGAAATCCTCCCAATCTCTGCATACTGAGTACAGACCCAAGTTACCTTCAGTATACTAACTCAAACACTCTTAAGAACTGCTGCTATATATATATGTAACACTATGGAGAGAATTCCAAAGTGTATTATTATATACAAATATTTAAACTGTTAAAGACAAAATAGATACAATTCATACAAATTATATTACCTTTCAAAGATAAAATTCTTAGAGAAACCAGCCCATTACATCTGCCAGAGTATAGTGATATAATATTTACTAAAAACTAAAAACAATTCAACAGAAAGGGCTGAATTAAAAACAATATATACATGTTGGGTACTGGTGGTTCATACTTATAATCCTAGCTACTCAATAGGTGGAGACTTGGAAGATCCTGGTTTGAAGCCAGCCTGGAAAGAAAAGTCAAAACTCTACTCCAATTAAATGCCATATTGTAGGTGTGGCTCAAGCAGCAGGCTTTTGAGCAAGAAAACCAAGCAAGCAAGTATACAAGAACCTGAGACCTGAATTCAAACCCAGTATTAGCATCAAAAATACCCCAGCCGGGTGCGGGTGGCTAACGCCTGTAATCCTAGTTACTCAGGAGGCTGAGATCTGAGGATCGAGGTTCAAAGCCAGCCCGGGCAGGAACATCTGTGAGATTCTTATCTCCAATAAACCACTAGAAAACTGGAAGTGGTGCTGTGGCTCAAGCAGTAGGGTGCTCGCCTTGAGCTGAAGAGTGCAGGGACATCACCTAGGCTCAGAGTTCAAGCCCCACTACAGACAAAATTAATTAATTAAAATACCCCAAACGCCTGCATACTTAAAAGTTTCAGGGTATCTGAAATTTCATTAGCCTTAACATTAATTGTGGAGTATTAGTCAATTCTTAAAACTCTCTTTTTAGCTTATGTTTTCACCTTAATATCTAAGCAAGTATACCTACTTTTCAAGAAGCCATTATTAACATTTAGAAAGTAAATCTAATATCTAAGTATCAGTAAAGGAAAATGGGAGTTTTGCCTTTTGTGGGCCATTTCCAGAGGATGGAGTAGCTTCATGAACTGAACATTCATTTGCCATAACTTCAGTTCCTGGATCAACTTCATTACAGTGGTAGTTAACAGCTGTATAAGCCTACATTTAAAAATAATAAAATCATAATTAAAGATATATGGATACATTTCTAAGCAATCTATTCTTTAAAATGTACAGCCGGTATTTAAAGCTTTAACATAAACTATAACCATTATTTCAGAAAATTTTTAATTGAATGGCAGAAGTGCAGTCCTTTATTTACTTCTAAGTGTCAACATAATCACAAGTGATAAGGATAATCAGAATTATAAGAAATCCGAAAAACCTTATTGCTGTAATATGTAGTAAGGGAGTACCTGAGAATTGTAACTCGTAACATATTCACCAAATACCCAATCCTGATGAAACACAGAAGCATTTCAAAATTTTTGTAGACAGGCACAAAATAGTAAAAGACAAAAAATACACAAGGAAAAACTCTTAGTTTACAAAGATGAAGTTTTACCGGAGGTATAACATAACTCCTTTGTTCCCCAGTAGGCCACTGTGGTTGTATCTTCAAAAAAAAAAACAGAAATTAATTCATATTTATCCATATATTTTTACAAAGATAGGATATAAAATATTCAATTATTTAGCATAGTTACTCCTTTGTGGTGATAATAAAACAAAACAAGGTACTCTACATTTCTAAATAGAACAAAATGAGGTACTGTTTCTAGTACTTGATTCTTTTAGATACTTTTACATATAACCCCCATTTTTTAAAAGTAGAAGCTGACAGAAAAACTTAAAAGATAGTTGTACTTTGAAATTATTATCACAGATATTTATGGTCATAAGCCATTTAATTATGTCCTATCTATGGGAAAAAATTCAGGCTCATTAGTTTGTAGCATCTAGCAAAATAAACACTAACAGCTGGGTGCTGATGGCTCATATTTGTAATCCTAGCCAATCAGGAGACTGAGATCTGAGGATTGTGGTTCAAGGCCATCCCTGGCAGGAAAATCTGAAAGACTCATCACCTAAAATCTGGGAGTAGAACTGTGGCTCAAAGTGGTAGAGTATTATCATTAAGCAGAAAAACTCCTAGTGACAGCTCCCAGGCCCTGAGTTCAAGTCCCACAATCACCACTACCAACAAACAAAACAAAAACCATTTACTATATAATTACTGTGTTCTAACAAACTGGGTAACATTGAGTCCAGCCATTGGTTAAGACAGGGGTCGGTCCTGAGAACTGGGTTGGCTTCAAACCTCCCTTTCTGCCTCTAAACTAACATTACAGTCTTGAGCCATTACCCCTGGTTTGGATAATCTCATTTCAATCTATCATTCCAGAAAAGTTTTTAAGTTACACTAGGTGTTTCAGCTGATGGCAACAGAAGACTACATGTTGAAATGGAAAAGGAGGTTAACAAATCCTAGGAAACAATTCTAGAAAGGTATTTTTCCTGGTCAAAATATCACTTCATATGTCTAATTCTATATTAATTCTATTTTCCTTTCATTTTAGGTATACTTTACTAGTTTAAACAACAAATTATTTGGAAAATGTATACAACTAAAAACAACAATAATACCCCAAAGTTATTGTTTTTAATTACCTGATAATTATAAACAGGTAGTTGATATCCAGTGATGACTTGAACTGGTGAACTTGGGTAAGGAGGATATGCCTAAAAATGAAGTTTATAGAAATAATGAACTAAGATAAATATTTAAAAAGTTGTTTAATTTTGTGTAGGTGTATGTTGGTTCTGGGAGCTTTCTCTGACCATTTTTGCTCCTGGCTGGTACTCTTCCGTTTGAGCTACAGCTTCACTTTGGTTCTTTGGTGGTTAATTAGAGATAAGAGTCTCACAAACTTTTCTGCCTGGGCTGACTTCAGCTAGAGATCAGATCTTAGCCTCCTGAGTAGCTAGAATGACAGGTGTGAACCACAGGGTGCTCATCCTTGAGCTTCTTTTGCTCCAGGCTAGTGTTCTACCACTTGAGCCAGAGCTCTACTTCCAACTTTTTTTTTGGGGGGGGGGGGCTAGGGTAGGAGAGGGTAGTTTATTGGAGATAAGAATCTCACTGACTTTCCTCCCTAGGTTGGCAATGAACTGTGTTCCTCAGATCTCAGCCTTCTGAGTGGATAGGATTAGAGGCTTGAGCCACTGGCTCCTGACTGTTTAAAAATTTTAAATTATTATTTTAAATTGTATTTTATAGTGTAATAAAAATGAAAAAATTTAAAAATCATACAATACAGAATTCCAAATAAGTGACTAGCTTCATGAATAAAACCATCATCTCTCTCAAGGGGTAGCTTTTCAGGTGGGGAGGAAGAAGGTTAAGAGACAAGCTAAGTAATTGATATGACAAGTCTTATTAGTGTATTTATCCCCATCCAGGAGTTCATCTTACACTGGTAATAAGGCAGGACAGATTTCTATTTAAATTTAATAAATCTACTGTTTCTTTATAAAAATACTTTCAGGTAGCTTTGTGTTTCTTAACAGCACCAGTTGGAAATCTGTAGTACTAAAGTCTTTATGGCTTCTTTTTTGTATTGATGTCTAGAGATTAAGGATAGTATAATCTGAAACTGGACAGGCTGATGTCTCATGATTCAATGTTTATTGATTAAAGGCATGTAAGTAGCAGCAAACAGGAAAAGAATCAATAATGATTTATAGGACACAGTAGGACTTTTCTTCTAGTCATTATAGAGAAAAATAAGATGTATTTTACACCTCAGGAAATGGGAAATGTAATAGGAAATGTAATAAGACAAAGATTCTAGAACTATTTCTGTTTCTTTTCTGATAAAGAAAAGGTCTTTGGAACTGAAGAAAGTAAAATTAACTAGGAAGAAAATAAAATGTTACTTATCATCAGTAAGCAATAGTACGTACACTAAATCCCAGTTTTAATATTAACCAGTCCCCAAATAAATGCCAGAACCCAAACTCAGGTTCCTGCTTAAGACTGAGATATTTTTTAACACAAGCAACATATTTCCTATTACTCAAAATATTCCAATAGGTATTGTATTATTAATGAGTAGAGAAACAGTGGGTATCACTTCAGAGGATATAAGATGATAATGAAAGACTACAGAAATGTAGGCAATTCTTACCTGAACATACTGAGTTATAGGATTCATCATAGTTGGAGGTGGCATGTAAGTTTCAGTGTTTGGGTTACTCCAAACACTCTGAAACTGTGGTGGAGGAGGAGGATTAAAAATCAAAGGACGTGGCTGCACATGATAAGCACCTTTTTAAAAAATAAAAAAATTTTAGTTCTGTGGAATATTCAACATGTTTTAGCAAGAACAATTACCTTTTTTTTACTCACATAAATTTTGTTTCCTGATTGCAGGGCCCAGTTTCAGCTTTTTACCATGGAAATTTATCTGTGACTAAAAACATAGCAATATTGGAATTACAATTTTTTTTGGGTCTGGTTGTGGGGCCTGAACTCTGGGCCTGGGCGCTGTCCCTCAGCTCTTCAGCTCAAAGCTAGCGCTCTACCACTTGAGCCACAGCGCCACTTCTGGCTTTTTTCTTTTTGCTTCTGTGGTGCTGAGGAATCAAACCCAGGGCCTCATGCATGCAAGGCAAGCACTCTACCACTGAGCCACCTTCCCAGCAATGGAATTACAATTTTTTAAGTCTTTACTTCCATGACTTGGGTAAATATTCTAAGTCTTCTAAAGTTCCTATTATCAGAGAACAACAATTAAGTATATATAAAATTCAAAATCATGAAGCTACCTTTGCCTCCATCACGCTAGTCAAAATGTCAAGAAGTGTCAAGTAGAATTCAGAAGTCTTTTACCTTGATTCTACTTCTTTCTGTCTCTAAAGCTAGATTCCCCCAATTAAGCAGGTTGAAACTAGTTACAAAAAACTAGGTTCTAATTTTAAACAGGAAAAATTTTATCTTTCTTTATATTTTACATAAGACTAAATATATTCAGGTCTTAAATAACACTATTGTATTAATGAATTTTCCATGAGATTGTTACTTACTTCTATTATCTTCTGCACATCCACGTCATTATAAAATGATACAAAGCCATAGCTAGAAAAACAAACAAAACATAAAATCACCATATTGTGATTTACTTCTGGCATCTTAAAAATAATCCAAGTGTGTAGGAAAGAGAAGGGAGAGTGATTGAGGGAAGAGATTAATTACAATGTATTGTAAACTTGTATGGAAATGTACTCCTTCTGTATAACTAATGTAAGCTAATAAAAAAATGAATGAGCTAGGTGCCAGTGGCTGATGCCTGTAATCTATTCAGGAGGCTGACATGTGAAGGTTACAGTTCAAAGCCAGACAGAGTAGTAAAGTGCATAAGACTTTTTAATATTTTTATTTCAGTTTATGCATCTTAAAGAATTTTTATTGTAAAAGTGATGTACAGAGGGGTTACAGTACATTAAGTCAGGTACTGAGAACAATTTTTTATTATGAAAATACCGTACAGAGGGGCTACAATTACATGGGCAAGATAATGAGTACATTTCTTATCAAGCATTGTTGCTTCCTCCTTTGTTTCCCCTTCCCATCTCCACACCCCCCCCCCCCTCCACCCCAAGTTGTAAAGTTTGTTTTTCGACATAACGACTAGCACATTTCTTTTTGAACAGTGTCACCTCTTTCCTCATTTTTTCCCAAGTTTTATCCCTCACTCCCCCCAACTAGTATAGGTCATTTTCATCATAGTGTATAGTAAGTATCAACTAGTTTACCCTTTGTCCCTCTCCTTCCCCTTCTCCAATCACATAAACTGCTATTTTTTACTTCTGTGCCTTTCGTATTGTATGTAAATTTTTATTGTAAAGGTGATATAGAGGGGTTGCAGTTTCATAAGTCAGATGAGTACATTTCTTTTCGAACAGTGTCACCTCTTCCTTCATTTTCTCCCAGTTTTCCCCCTCTCCCACAAGTTGTATGGTTCATTTTCAACAATGTCTAATGAGTATCACTGCTTTGTCCTTTCTGTGCTTCCCCTTATCCTCCCCAAATCAGATAAACTTACATATAAGACCAAAGGTATAGAAATAAAAAAGTGACAAGAGGGGGAAAATATGAATAAAAAACACCACAAAAGTAAATTATCTTACTTTTTATTTTATGTAAGACTCTTATCTACACTAACCTACTAAAGAAGCCAGAAGTGGAGCTGTGGCTCAAGTGGTAGAAAGCTAGCCTTGAGCAAAAGAAACTTAGGGACAGAGCCCAGGCCCTAAGTTCAAGCTCCAGATTTGGTGCATGCAAGCACACACACATACACAAAGAAGTGAAAATGGTAAATATATTTTGTGTGATAATATAAGATATGCATAAGAGATCTTTGTAAGTATTACTGTTTTTTATTGTTCTTAACCTAGTCTATGTCAGAATTTGCTAAGGTTAGGGTGGCATGGGACCTTAATTAACAATTTGTGTCTATGAACCTGAATTTAACCTAATATCTAAGGCAAGATAACTAAAATTTAAGGTACTGTGAAAACAATTCTTTAATAAAATACATCAATCTACTTAAGTGAGATAAACATAGAAAATACTGAAAATATTAGAAAAGCGATGAAATTCAAGAGCTGACAAACTCTTTAGTTTGAAATAAATTCACAAACCAACATCTTTCACAGTGTTTTTCATTCCTTTCTGATACTGTAGAGAATATATTTTCTATAGAGTGAACATGTTTTACTCACCCTTTGGACACACCAGTTCGATCAGTGATTATCTTCACTTCTTTTACTGAACCATATCTAGCAAAGAAACTTCTTATTTCAGTTTCATCCATCTATGGAAGAGAATTAAATGTTAAAAGTAAAAATTAAACCTTCAAAAAATTAAATTCTACTACAAAAGATTTGATACTTAAGTTATATCCCCAAACTACCTGTAGTTTGTTATCAAAGATTTGTGTTAGACACAAAGCCAGTTCTAAAACTGAACAACATAAACTCCATTATTCACAACTTATTTTTTTATATTTATTTACTATTGAGATGGGAGTCTCATTATGCTGTTTATGGTCTTGAGCTCCTCCAGAGTTCAAATGATTCTCTTGTTATAGTCTATACCAAGTGGTTGGAACTGCTGATGCATGCCACTTCACCTGATTTCACAATCTGCATTAAAATGTAAATGAAATATGAATACAATACCCTAACATCAATTCCACCAACAAAAACTGTGTTTGGCATGATTTTGCCTTCTGGTAATACATAGCCTTGGCTGGTGGTAGCTGACGAGGACTGGGTGCTGGCCTCTCTGGAAATGGTTGAGTTTGCAGCCTCAGAATTTGCAGCAGACTGTAATTGGGAAAGCAGATATGAGCAGACACATAGGGAAAAAAATGCAATGTGAAACACTTTTTTATTTAAGGTATAAAATATTTTATGTAAATTCTCATTGTAAATTAGTCACCAATACAGCTTAGCTCATTCTCAGGATCTAAAGCAATTAGGCATAACATTTTATTTTGGGTCTGGTCGTGGGCCTGAACTCTGAGCCTGGGCGATGCCTTTCAGCTCTTCAGCTCAAGGCTAGCGCTCTACTACTTGAGCCACAGCACCACTTCCGGCTTTTTTTTTTTTTTTGCTTATGGGTGCTGAGGAATCGAACCCAGGGCCTCAAGCATGCAAGGCAAGCGCTTTACCACTGAGCCACCTTCCCAGCCCCAGGCATAACATTTTAAATAAAAGAATATAATACTTAACCCAGCTGCTACTGATCATCTTGTACAATAATCTTGTGGAATAATACCGACCGTGTATTTCATGAAAATACAACATGAATGGGTTGCAAATATTCGATTTGAAAAACAAAAATTATTAAAATCATTTTGTTCTGTATTGACAGATTTTCATTTTACTGAGTACATCAATAAAGTGTACTTTTTAAAAATTAAAAAAAGCTAAGAAAAAGCATTAATCTTCAACACTTATCTGACTTCCTCTTTTTATTCATCAAAATTCACATGAGTTTTACAACTTTAGTATTGTTAGTACTCTTTTTACTTTAAAAATGGACTGGGAAAACCTTAATTGCTTACATATCACAGGTTCCTCATAAAAAGAGTGTTATAATACTTGTCCCTAATGTTCTGGTGTTCAAAACATGTTCTGTAATAACACTTTCTTCCTAAGTAACCCCAAAGCATTCCTATTGACAGTTCTAATTTTCACAGTGAGTTCATATGAATGATATCATACCATCTTTATTTTCAGATAAAGAAAACCATACCTATAACTATTTTCTTGTTCTGAACTGCTTTTAGTCTTCACATACAAGACTCTAAAGTTAATAGTTAATTTTTCTAAAGCATAATTTACTGGTAATATATATGTTGGAGAGATAATAATAGCACAATGAAATATTAAGTGTTTTAATCTAGTCTAGATTCATGTACCTTACTAGGTTATAAGCCACACACTTGCCAGATGTGTTATCTCTGGATAAATTAAGAAATTAAAGTGAACTCACTTTAATAAAGCATGAAGGAATATGTTAATGAAGTGTCCTGTTATTTGAATTTACATTCAATAGTTTTCTTTTCTAGATTTAATACTTATTTTGTATCAGTTTAATAAAATTTCAAGAAACTGCCTTATGAAACACCTATTTAGTTTATGAAGTAATTGACTGTAAGAGGTAAATAAAGCTGCAAGAGAATGAAAAGGCTATTGTATAGTCCTGTTTAAGAAAGAGGGGGAACCCAAAGACAAAATCTGTATGTTAAAAAAAAAAAAGATTACCAGAGCAATTTTATAAATGAAAACAAAATTGTCAAGTCACTAAAGTTGAGGGTCTTTTTGTTTTTCTTTATTTATTTTGGCTTACTTTTAATGTTCTGTTTCTCTTTTACTATTTCTGTATTCCTTCCTTTAACTATGATACTGTGATATTTCATGATAAAGAAGTGCCAGAGTAAAAAAATCATTTCAAAAAAGTTTTTCCTTCAAAAGTCTTATAATTCCATTTTTTCTAATTGTGACTATATTAAACTGTTTTGGACTATTGAAATTTGACTATATTTCCCTATAAATAATCAACCTTATGTCAATTAATTCATTAAAAAATCCAGAATACAAAAGCTGATGCATACCTATAATCCTAGCTATGAGGAGATAGAAATAGGAGAATCACAGTCCCAATCTGGCTGGTACAAAAAAGTTAAAACCCTACTTGAAAACAAATTAAATGTCAATGGATTGGGTGTGGCTCAAATGGTTAGAATGTTTGCCTAGCAAGCCAGAGACTCCTAGAATTCAATCTCCAATAACACTCCCTTCTCAACATACACCAAAGCAGTGTTTCTAACTTCCTTCTTTCTCATCAATCTTCCATTTATAGATAAGCTTTGGATACAATTTTATTTGATAAATTTGTATTATTAGTGTCTGCACCATAATGTATCAATGTTTTCTAGAGGTGTAACATCCAGGTAGAAAATCATTAGTGAAAATTAGGCACTGATTTTCAATGAGAAAAGATTTTGTGCCACACAGGCACTTAAAATATGCCAGTCCCTAGCCAGGTAGAAGATCTGGGATATCACTAAATAGCCTGCAAATGACAGCCCCCAACAACAAAGAATTACTCCTCCCAAACATTTGAATAGGGATGTAGCTGAAAAATCTTATAACGTCACCAGAATTGAAGAGGAACATTATTGTTGAAAGATACTGTTGAAACATGAATAAGTCTTTTTGGGTTCTCAATTTCTTTATTTGAACAATGAAACGGTTAGAAGAGATTTCTGTTGTCCTGTAAGTTAGTATATTCTATTTATAAAAATGGACATTTGAGGCAATTTAGTAAGGTGGAAATAGAAATTCTAACTTGGGGTTAGGTCTTTCGAATCAGCTGTCTGGTTAAGTGGGACAGTAAATATAAGTAAAATTAATTCACTTTAATAGTGTAATATAACATCTTAAGGCAGGCATCACTATGTTCTAGCCCCTATTCACCAGGTGGCGCTCAAAGCTAACAAAGAAAAGTGCTCCATTTTTCAGAAGACTTCAATAGTAGGGATTTTTAAACTACTGTTTATACTTTGTCTAGTAATTACATAAAAATGCCCACGATTGGTGGGCAATCTTTAGTGCTTTTTGAAACTATGGTCAAAACCACTCTACAAATGAATGCTCAGGCTAGGCATTTTTCTTTTTGGTTTTAGTCTGGGGCTTCAACTCAGAACTTGAGCTCTTTGCTCAAGGCTAAGTGCTCTGCAAGCCTTTGAGCTACAGCACCACTTTTGGCTTTCTGGTTGTTAATTGGAAATGAGTCACACAGATTCCTGAGTAGCTAGGATTACAAACATTAGCCACCAGTGGCCCAGCTGGCCAGTTCTAGGCTAGCCTAGAACTGCTGTGCTCCACTGATCCTTCTCCTGCCTCAGCCTCCTAAGTATTTGGGATTATAGGTGTGCACCACTGTGCCTGACTAGAAAGTATAATCCTAGCTATTGATATCATACTGAAAAGAATCTGCATTAAACATAATATGAAATTATTTTTATTATATTTCAGATGGATTGGTAGATTTTTGTAACAAGAAATATTAGGATAAAAAATAGGAGTGAGCCAATGGAATTCTATGCCTCCATCAGAAAGAATGACATTTCCCCATTTGTTAGGAAATGGAAAGGCTTGGAAAAAATTATATTAAGTGAAGTAAGCCAGGCCCAAAGAAACATAGGTCCCATGGTTTCCCTTATTTGCAATATCTAGTATACGTATGAGTCAAGCGGAAAAAGTCAGAGAATGTGATGTTAGGAAAACGAACCCTCAAATATGTATTTTAATGTTTTTGTTTCTTTCATGCATGTGTTTCTAACGCATTTATAAGATTATTTCTTTGTTGCTTTGTATGTCCCTCCCCCACAGTGTAACCCCCGCTTTCACTATATTTGATGTCAGTATAACATGTGGAGGAGATGGGGACAAACAAGTCGTTTAAGGATTCAGGTGGACCTGTTGCAACAATGAGAAGTACAAAATGTCATGTCAAAACCAGCTTTACAATGTCGGTGGGGGGGGAGGGGGGGTATGATTGGGTGGGGGGGAGGGGGGAGGCTAGGAAGGGAGGTGAAGGGTAAACAAAGGAGGAGGCTGCAATGCTTGGTAAGAAATGTATGCATTATCCTGCCCATGTAATTGTAACCCCTCTGTACAGTATGTTCTCAAATAAAATAAAATAAAATTAAAAAAAAAAAAATAGGAGTGAGCTTGGAGGCCATGATATAAAAATTCTCTATAGTAAAACTTGAGATCTATATATACTGGCCAGAAAAGGCCTGTAATTTGTAGTCATCAAAATTAATCCATAGCAATAGGAAAAATTATACCAAAATAAAGGCTAAGATTAAGAAAATACAAAATAAAAATTAAAAAAAAGTAAACCCAAGAATGGACTCTCAGTTTAGGGGTATCCAAGCAATACAGTAATCTTGTAAGATTAATAAGGAAGAATAAAAATGCATAAAAAATAAGGTAATAAAAATTTTAATAGAAAGGAATATTAAACACAATAATAGGAGTATGACCACAGATGGTAAGAATGTTATATTTAAACTCTGTTGGAATGTTTCTGATAATCTAAAACAATTAGTTTACTTTCTAGATAAATGTAAATCTTCACAAACATGCCAATGCCAATCCTGGGGTTTGAACTTTGGGACTGGGCACTGACCCTAGCTTTTTTTTGCTCAAGGCTTGCACTCTCTTTCTTAGGCCATAGCTCCACTTCCAGGTTTTTGCAGGTTAGTTGGAGTTAACAGTCTCACAGACTCACTGCCTGAACTTGCTTTGAACCTTTTCTCCTCATATCTCAGCCTACAGAGTAACCAGGATTACAGGTATGAGTCACCTGCACCCAACTATACAAGTATTCCTAAGATTAGAACATTCAGATGGCAGTTTACACCTGTAATCCTAGGAGGCTAAGAGACTCTTATTTCCAATTAAGCACTCAAAAGACCCAAAGTGGTGCTATGACTCAAAGTGGTAGAGAGCCTTTAGCAAAAAAGCTTAGGGACCGTGCAAGGCCCTGAGTTCAAGTCCCACATCTGACCAAAAAAAAAAAAAAAAAAAGATTACAACACTCATGGCCTGGATCAGTTTTACTGGCTTTAAGTAGTAAAATAACAGATAACGAGGTTTATACACATGATAAGAGAGGCACAGGAGAAAGATAGTTTAAGATTTTCCTTGAAGTTTTTAGAAGGCGTGGGAATGTGGTTAAAGTGGTAGTGTTTGCCTAGCAAGCCTAATGCTCTTAACTCAAACCCCAGGACTGCTTTAAAAAAAGATGATTAACATCATCTAAATAAAGCCTCAAAATGGCACAAACCCTTGCCCATTTTCAGAGATGCAAAGTCTTAGCAATATATTAAAATGCAAAGATGGTACATTGTTAGGATTTCTGGTACTTTATCATTGAGAAAGCAGTTGAAAAAATACAGCTTTATTGTCTTTTTTGTTTGGGGGGGGGGGGTCTGGTCGTGGGGCCTGAACTCTGGGCCTGGGCACTGTCCCTCAGCCCTTCAGCTCAAGGCTAGTGTTCTACCACTTGAGCCACACATCACTTCTGGCTTTTTTCTTTTTGATTATGTGGTGCTGAGGAATCGAACCCAGGGCCTCATGCATGCAAGGCAAGCGCTCTACCACTGATCCACCTTCCCAGCCCTACAGCTTTATTTTCTAATTTAAAAAAATCTACCAGAAACACAAAATTTAAAATTTCCTATTAATGTAAGTGAAATACTCTCCAGTTGTTGATAACTTCAAATATTTTAATACCTCTCATTAGAAAGGAGTTGGAGAAAACATTTCTCTGCACTGTTAGGTGGAAAAATAAACTGGTACAAGATTTAACTCAACTACCTTGGAAAAACTTAAAATGTAAAAAGGTTAAACAACACTTTTACCCAGCACTTCTACTTCTGGCAAATTATCTTAATAGCATAAGCATTTCAAAATATTTATAAACAAATATCCACTATAGTATTTATTTTGATATTGAAAATTGTTCATCAGAAGGAAATTTGGTAAAATATGTAATGGTACACTATTTTATATTGTCTTTTCTAAATTATTTAAAAACATCTTTGGATAATCCAAACTACATTAGTCGTAAGTTGTGAAAAAACATACATCATGGAACCATTAAAAAGTACTTGGCTATCTATATGTACTAGAAATAACAGGACATATGTATATATTCACCCCCCTCCATCCCAAGCAAAAGCTGAGATTAAGGTAGAGCTCTATTTTCTTAATTTTCAAGTGAGAAATATAAACTTATAATCAGAAAAAAAGCAATTCCTTTACTTTGCCTCTAATAACGAAGAGGAAAAACACCAATAATAATTTGTAACTCGTATTGAAAGTTACACTATTACATTATGTACATGATGTAATTTTAACCTTTTAATGCCTCTATCATAATGTAAATGATATATAAATCCCTTTTCTTTACTGCTAGAATGGAGAGAATATTTAATGCACAACATATAATTATCCTTGGTCAAGTTCGGATTTTCTGTTTTACTTTTACGTCAGGGTCTCTCAATGAGTCTGGGGCTGGCCTTGAATCCGAGAACTTCCATCTCCCACCTCCAGTGCACCTAGCTGTTGTTCCTCTCCCTGCGTTTATTAAAACTCACTTAAAGTATGCCTCAAAGAAACCTACCTACGGCGACAAAACCTACCTACTAGAGCGCCTGTGCATCAAGCAGGAGGCAGAATTCAAACCCCAGTGCTGCCCCAACTTGCGTATATCAATAGAAAGTATAGGCGTAATGCACATTTAGCTAAAAAATAGTTCGCGCTTTGGCGGAAGGCTAAAGATAAATACAAACGAAACACTCCTGGATACAATCCCAACCCCCGGCAATACACCATTTAGTACTTGATGCTACCTTAGGAAGGCGCCACCACCAGGGTCTTTGCCGAGTTTTAAGGACGAGCTGGCGGCCAGGGCCTTGGGGACAGTTCCATACCTGCTCCCACGTGGCAACACCCACAGCAGCAGACAGCTTTCTGCAACTGCTCCCCGCCTCCTCCAAACCCACCCTGCCCCAGGATGTGGAACAGCAGCAGGCAGGCACCGACTTGTAGTGGCCCCCTTTGAGGAGCCCATAGGCTTCACGCGGCTCCGAGGAGGTGGCGGCTGAGGCTCCGCCTAGGCAGCGCGTAGTGGGAGTGGCTACGTAAACTGGCCCCAGGGCGCTGACGACACTGACGCGGCCCCGCCCAGCAGGCGCACCGGAAGGCGGGAAAGCGTGAAGGTGGCGGCGGCACTGACGCCGACGTCGTGCACGTGGCACGCAAAGGGCCGGGGCCTCTCCCAGGTCCGCCCGCCACCTTCCCTCCCCCCACGGGCTTCTGCCACGTCCACGCCCCTCCCCCCCTCCTCACGGCGCCTGGTAGGCCGTGATGTTGTTGTGTTGCCGCCGCAAGGCCGCTTAACCCGTACTCTGCAGGCTGCGGGCCCAGTCAGGCCAGCACCCCACAACAGGAAAGATGAGGAGACCCTGTTTTTTATTCCTTTTCCCTATCTTCCTTCCTGTGCGAACACTCCCGAGACCCACCACTTTCGCCCACCCCTGAAGAGGTCCGTGGGCCTCCGCCATGCAGGGCTTCCCCTCAACTCACCATGATGGCGGCAGGCAGCGGGTCTCGCCTATGTGGACGAGGCTCGAGGGGGAGCGGTGGCCGGGGAGAGCTGCGGAGTCCTCTGGTGCGGCCACCCGGCCTCCAGTGGGTTGGAGGTGGAAGGCGAGCCGAAGACTGGCGGCGAGGCAGAGAAACCGGAGGTGAGCGGCTAGCCTGGAGGCACCGACGCACTGAGGCGTGGGCCGCGCGCTCCTGGGGGGGGCTCCCGGTGCCGCGCATCCCCGCTTCTCAGCCAATGGGTGGCGGCGCCCCGACACCCCTGCGGGCGGGGCCCTGCCGAGGGGCGGTGCCTGGGAGCGGGTGCGCGCAGAAGGGGTGCCCGGCGCCATGGCGGGCCCTGCCTTGAGGGTATGGACTGGCCTCAGACAGGCACACTGCGCTTCCCAAGTGCCTTTGAACACCTCCCTGAAATAAGCATGCACCCCGACATGCGTGGTAAAGGTTTGCTTTTGAAAAAAAAAATGTTGGTGATAGATCGTAGTTTCAAGATGGCGTCCGGCGCCACTAGGGTTAGCGCCATTGCCCAGCCCCAAATGATGGAAATAGCTGCACAAGTAGCGAATAGGAACACATTTGTGGAAAACAGGGAAGGACATCTTCCCAGACCCGGCACCGGGAGGCATTTCCATCGCATCTTGAGGTCGATGGGGCTGGATTGAAGGGAAGGCCGGATGGGCCGCCTGGTTGAGCTTCCGGGAACCTTCTTCATTTTTTTTTTCTCCTTCAGGAAACTGTCACTGAGTGCCTTATAGTATCAAGTGCAGCAGCAAATGCATGAGTATATTTCCCTCATGGAGTTTAAAATGTATCAGGAGGGTTTATATTCCAAGATTTTCAGAAAGATGCTAGACCACCATAAAAATTCTAGAACATTCTCAAGATCAGGAAATGGTCTATATCAAAGGCAAGTTGTGTTGCAGTTGGATGCCATCACAACTTTGGGAACTACTTTAGTACCTTGTGTACCCGGGGGGTAACTGGGTCTGACTTTATTTTTACTTTTTTTTTTTGTTTTTTTGTGCTGGTCCTGGGGCTTAAACTCAGGGCTTGGGCACCATCCCAGAGTTTTTTTTTGCTCAAGGCTAGCACTCTGTCACTTGATGCCACAGGCTCACTTCTGGCTTTATTTTTTTTTTTTGGTAGTTAATTGGAGATTAGAGTCTCATGGACTTTTCTGCCTGGGCTAGTTTAAAAAACACCATCCTCAGATCTCAGCCTCTTGAGTAGGTTAGGGTAGCAGGTTTGGGTCTGACTGTTTAATCCTCAAATTTCCCTTTCATACTGATAAAAACACATTAAAAATTTCCTTTCAAACGAACAAAATGATAGACTTTTATTAGTGAAACTCATTAATAACATTTAGTAATGGTGGGTAAAATAATAATGACTTATTTTTAACAGTTTATAGCTAACCCTATAATAAATAAAAGGACACACAAGGTGAGAAAAATCAAAATAAGCTGAAAATTACAGCAGTGATAAACTAAGCTGTCTTTGGTCCTGGGGCTGGGGATGGGTTTCAAGGTACCTTCCCCAGGAATTTGCTGGCTTTTTAGCACTGAACCAACTGATGGTTGGTTCTCATAGATGTATAAAGAGCAGTAGCTAAATAATTGTTGTGGCAGAGAGAGGTGGAACTGAGTACCCTGTAAAAGGCCATTCTTAACAGGCATCATCCTAAAAAAACAGGATTAGGTAAAATGGGAAACACTCACTGGCAGGCAGATCAGTAAACTTGGGCAAAAAGGGAAAGCGCACACAATAATAATTTAGCACTGCACTGCTTAAGTTTTGAAACCCTAGACATTATTTCATAACAATATGGCATTTAAATTTGTGGCACTTGTAGGTTATTGGTTTCTTAGAGTTAAAAAAATTGCCCTCCTGCCTCATTCCTCCCCGATCCTAACATCAAATATCCCAAACATGGTGCATCTAGAATGCCTGGCAAAAGCCAACAAAGCAAAGTTAGAGGGATACTCTACAAGCTAGACTGAAAGGGATTCTGTAAGAAAAGTACCCTTTAAAAATTAGCTCACAGTGGGCACCGGTAGCCCAGGCCTGTAATCCTAGCTACTGAGGAGGCTGAGATCTGAGGATCAGGGTAGCTGGGTTCAAAGCCAGCCTGGGCAGGAAAGTCTGTGAGACACTGATTTCCAATTAACCACCAAAACCCGGCAAGTGACACTGTGGCTTATGGTAAAGCACTTGTATTGAGCTGAAGACCTCACGGACAGCACCCAAACCCAGAGTTCAAGCCCCACAACTGACAAAAAAGGAAAAAAAAAAGAAAAAAAAAAAAAAAGAAAGAAAAAAGCTCACAGTAAAAGAATTAAAAATAAATTAAATGCTGGGCTGAGAAGGTGGCTCAGTGGTAGTGTGCTTGCCTTGCATGCATGAGGCCCTGGGTTTGTTTCCTCAGCACCACATAAGCAGAAAAAGCTGGAACTGTTGCTGTGGCTCAAGTGGTAGAGTGTTGGCCTTGAGCTGAAGAGCTGAGGGACAGTGCCTAGGCCTACAGTTCAGGCCCCATGACCAAAAAAAATATGCCTTTTGGGTGATGGTGGCTCACTCCTATAATTCTAGCTATTCAGGATACTATGATCTAGGGATCACAGTTCCAGGTGAGCATGGGCAGAAAAAATACAAGATTCTACCTGCAATTAACCAGCAAAAAGCTGAAAGTGGAGGTGTACCTCAAGTTTCAATCCTGAGCTAAAAAGCTGAACTAGAGCATGAGTCCTTGAGTTCAAAGTTCTAGTACGAGCAACAGCCCCCCCCCCTCGCAAAAAAAGCATGTGCCAAGGCCTTATTCTAAAATTAGCTGAGGGTAAGATCCACCATCAGTGGGTTTTTGTTTTTCATTAATGTGTCTCAAGTTTCTGAAGTTTGGAAATTTATCCAATAGAGTCTTCTCAAAGTGTGTTTATCAGACTAGAATTAGATTACCTGAATATGCTAGAATCTCAGTCTCTATTTTGGTCTGACTGAATCAGAATCTGAATTTTGATATGATCTCCAACAGCTTGACTCCAATTGAATTGGTGGCAGCTGAGGCTCTTTACTAGACCAATTCTGTGGGCCTGATTTCATGGACTATTACTGGAACCTGACTATGGTCACTTTTGTGATTTTATAATCTGGCTACCCAGGAGATTTCAACAAAATCTTTCTTGCTTAAATCAACTGAAATTACTATGCTTGTTCCTTTACTGAAAAGGGTGATGACTGAGGTCAGCCACAGTGCTTGTTTTCTTGTTGAAGTACTGATGTTTGAACTCAAGGTCTTGCACATGCATTATCACTTGAGACAGCCTCAGTACTTTTTTTGCTGTGATTAGTTTTGAGACAGGGTCTCACATTTTGCCTACCCAGGCCTAGGCTATCCCGATTCTCCTATTTATGCTTTCTACTGTAGTGGCAGTTGCACACTACCATGCCCAACTTTTTCTGTTGAGATGGAGTCTCATGAACGTTTTTGCCCAGGCTGGCCTGGAATATCAATCCTCCTGATCTCAGCTTCCCTTGTAGTTTAAAATTATAGGCCCAAGCTATCAACACATGGCCAAAGTGTTTTTTTTAAGTTTAAGAATTTTTTATTTTAAATATATATTTTCATAAATACAGAACAAATTTTAACAGGAACTTATCTGCAGGAAACAATTTTTATTGTAAAAAATAATAACTATGATGAAGGGGTTTTTTTTGGTGTTTTCTTGTAAGAAAAATCAACAAGCTTTTATCAAAGGTTAACAAAGGTAAGAAAAATTCAAAGGCATTTTGAAGCATTCAAGGAACATTTTGTAAATGACAAAACCACCAAGAGAGAGAAGATCCAGAAAAATTGACTTTAAGCACCTAATCATTGATCAAAATGAGAGTTTGGGTCAAAATCCTTTTTTTAATATGTATTTTTTATTGTAAAGATACTGTACAGAGGGGTTACAGTTACACGAGTAAGGTAATGAGTACATTATTGAGCATTGTTACAACCTCCTTTGTTTTCCCCTACCATCCCTCCCTCCCCACCTCCCTATTCTACCTTTTTTTAATTGTGAAAATACTGTACAATTACATGGGCAAGGTAATAAGTACATTTCTTATCAAGCATTGTTGCCAAAGTGTTTTTAAGAAGAATCAGATAAAATGATGGCTCCTTAGTTTTTTTTAATGTAACAATGTCCCTCTATTGCTTCCATACTTTAAATAAGGTTCCACTACTTAGCAGAAAATCCATTTGATAGTGATGTTTTATGAAGAGAATCAAAGAAAGGGCAGCAAGATGACCCATAGGTAAGATAATTCAGCAGGAACAGATATTGAGAGTCAACAATCACTTGGAAGAGTGTGACTTGTACTCTCAGAAGTCCCACAGAGATACAAAGAGACTTGTATTATTTCCACTGTAGGTGAGCTGGGATTTGAGCCCATCCCATTTAAGTTTCAAAGTATGGTGCTTCAGCTTCTACTTGATTATGTCACAACTCTCCTTGTTCACCTTTAACCCTAATGCTGCATAAACACTCATTTTACCCAGTCTCCTAAGCAAGTTTCCTGAATTTGGGGGTTGGTCTCACTAAGTTGACCAAATTTTCATAATGGCCTCACAAAACTTGCCTAAACACATAACTCTGAAAAATGATTAACTTGTAAAAAGTAATAGGAATGATGAGAGGCACTGATAATTGATGTGGGATTTTCTGCGTGCTAGAGGTTATGGTAATCATTTTCTGTTACTTCATTTAACCTTGTAACAATAAGGTTAGAAAAGAAAGCAGTTGAAAACAGAAGTTATGGTGTGCTCAAGATCATACTGTTGGTGCATCAGAGCTGCAGTTTAAACCCAGTCATCCCTTACAGTGCTTGAGAAGCACTGTATTAGCAAACTACATGGAGCAAGAAAGGACTAGCATCTTGGATGAAGTTCTGTATTAAATCCCTGGTTTTCTTAACAATAGTCAAAGAAGGAGGTTTGAAATTTCTTT